GCAGCTGATTTCGCCATTTTTTTTTTTAAATGAGATTTCAAAACTTACAAAGACAAAAACGAGAAGGCGAAGACAAAAAGAGAATAAAAAATTCCCCGCAGTGAGTTTTCAAAGCTATATATTTATGGTATTCATCACGAAATTGTACTAAAAAGTACTGTGGGAAAGTATATTGTAAACGAAAGGTACCAAAAAAGTACAATTGTACCAAAAATGCCAACACTGTTCTGTATACATACTTTATTTCTTTTTTACTTTTATTTTATCTTTCACCTTCGCTAAAAGCACTTCTACCCATGATTCAATAATACAAGGTTAGATAATTATTGACAGCTGCGGTTTGACACTCCCTTACAAAAGGTTGCATTTACGAAGGACAGAGAAAGGGCAAGAATGCAATCCCTTGTTTCGAAAATGGTAGTAGAAAAGTACGCAAAGCAGTCAATTAGAAGTGAAATTCCTTTCGTAAATTCTAATGCATTTGCAGGAAATCTAGCATTTTAAACGAAATGTTGAACGTAATATTGATATATCTACGTGAATTACGTAATTTATATGCTATTTAGCCGTATAAAAACTGCAAAATGACTCAAAATTAAAATAAGACTACTATTAGACTGATGTAAATATCCAATGCTTATGTTTTCATCAGTTAAATATGCTTCATATGCATATACAAATAAACATATTGCACAAAAGCTTATACCTTTATTTAACACCAAAGCTACACTGTTTCCATGTAAATTTGCAAAGAAGCAACACGGTGCCACTGCTAAGGGAGCGGTGCGAGAGAGACAACTGTCAGTTTATCGAACCTTGTATTATTGAATCATGACTTCTACCAACGCTTGGCTTACCAAATTTACGCCGATTGATAAAATTTTGCGATTTAAATTCATTTTCAATAATGTAAATAACAATTCGTGTTGAATCGAAAATCGCCTCGTCTGAATAGGGACGGCAACTTTTTCACTTTCAACTTCTCATTCAACTTTTGTTGCCTGTAAAATCGGCTCGTGCGAAAGCCCTAATAATAAACCTTTTTGCTCAGTAGATCCAGTAAGCAAACTTAGCAGTTTTTTTCACCAAATTTGGTCCCCATAAAGGACTGGTGTTGCAAGCAACGCTTTTTCGGCAATTAGGGTGTTGTGCAGCTTTTTAATGTACTGAAAATTATTTAAGGACTGGAGAATTTATTCACATGGAATTGGAGGTTGGGCTGATAGATCTACTTAAATAATTTGTGAATCTGCGTAAATATCTTTTCAGCAGATGAATATACTTTTTAACTTTTTTCCCGAAAATTTACATACAGGCTCGAAATTATACGAGTAACATTCAAACATCGTCGCTTGGATGGAAAATTGCCGGAAGCGTCATTTTGACAATTTGTATTTATAGATGCAGTTATATATTTTAAAGTAAGATATTTCGATTTTTTGTTAACTGGTTTTTGGATATCTTCTTTAGTTTCCGAGTAATTGACTAAAATGTTTTCGGCTATTTGGTACAAATTGCGTTCGTATAGCTGTCGTATTAAACTAATCAAGATCTTTCAAATAGAGTTACCTGCTCTTCTTTAGTTTCCGACATATACAGCCTTATCATGAGTTTTATTTTCTAGAACCGGGTCACTTTTTCACTTTTCATTTGCGTGTATTCACTACAGGTGTATGAAAAAATTGTTGGCGAAATTTTGTTGGCGTAAATCATTAAGGGCCGCTTGTTCAATGTCTGGTTATCACTACCACTACACTATCGACGATTTCGACATCATGCATGTACCATGTGATCGATAAAGCAGTAGTTGTGCTTAACCGGAGCTTCTACCTCCGATTTGTGCTAATCAGACATTGAACAACCGGCCCTAAGGGCCGGTTGCTCAAAGCCTGGTTGACACTAATCCCTGGTTAAACATCGTTATCGACGTTACCGACACCGTGTTATATGCATGGAGTCGAAAACGTCGATAACGATGTTAACCGATGATTAGTGTGATTAGCACAAATCGGAGGTAGAAGCTCCGGTTAGATACAACGACTGCTTTATCGAGCACATGTTATATGCATGCTGTCGAAATCGTCGATAATGATGTTTAACCGGCAAGTAGTGATAACCAGACATTGAACAACCGGCCCTAAGGGCCGTTTACTCAATATGTGGTTAACACTAATCTCCGTTTAAACATCATTATCGACGTGTTCGGCTCCATGCATACACTATGACACTAAACTAAAAAATAAGATAATTTAACTATTTCGTGAACTAGTACATAGAGGATCTTTAGTCGTGTTTCTGAGAAAATGCATTCCATACTTCAATCGTGAGTTACCGAAAGTAACTTGTGACAATCTTTTATCCAGGCGACGATATAGCATTTAGCTAAAATATGCATCTAAATAAATTATAATTGTTGTTGTTGTTGTTGTTGTAACAGCATACAAACTCCCCAAAGACTTTTTGGGGAGTGTTGCTGGAGTGACAGTCCTTGGCCAGATATAAATCTGGGTCGTTCCGGTTACGTAGACCCGACTGTCGTGGGTTTTATTCATCTTATCTTATCTTTCTTATGCTTCATATATTCAAATATCATAGTACTATGAATATATGAAGCATAAGAAAGATAAGATAAGATGAATAAAACAAATTATAATTGTCATTATTTTCGCTGTTGGAGTATATGCCAGACGAGTAACAGGTATACAAGTATACCTAAATTAGCGCGTTGGGCTTGTATATTTATCTCTCTCTAACGCATTAATTCTATATACGTCAGCAGCAACGCACGACAAAGTTATGTCTGTATTTAATAATGGCTTTATTACAAATAATTCATGAAATGTATTCGTGGATTTTTATTTACTCTCATTTCAAACATTAGTATTGATCTGAATGATTTTTACTAAATATTTAATAAAAACTATTTCATTTAGCTTAACCAACTTTTAGTTGCTCGGAGCTAATTTTGGAACGCTTCATGAAATATTTTCATAGACAATAAATGCAACCATGGGTGCATCATTAATGAGCTGAAAAATCAAATAAATAAAAAAATTCCATCTGAACCAATATTCCCAAAAATTATAAAGCAAAACAAAAACCATTTTTCCAATTTATGCACTGTTATTTTTATTATTGCAATACAGTTTCGTAGCTCTTCAAACATTTTCCACATTATGCTTTTAAAGCTAGTAGTTTCTGACCCCATTTGCTCGTTTTTTTCAGTTCTGAATTTAGGCTAGGTTTCATGGGAACTTACTGTGGGTGCAAACAGACCACATTTTGTAAATATGTACATATGTATACACTTCAACTGAATTGTGATATTTAATTTTATTTTATAATGAAAAATGAATTTAATGTGCAATTCTTTAAGTTTACTAGATGTAAGTCAATTTTTAATTTTCTTTATATATTGCATGCTTTAGTTTTAATTATTTTTAAGTTAAGTTGTAAAGGTTAAAATAGGCCTCCTGGAGAACCGAGCACCTTAAAAAAAATCGGTGACGCGCCTAAAAGCATACACAAGTGGTGTGGAAAATGCAAGAACAAATATAAAATATAAATGGAATAAATGGAATGGTTATTGGTATTTTCCATCTCAAAGGGGATGATTAATTTGAATATTTAAGCTGCCTTTACACGGTCGATTTTTGTCGTTTAACCAAAATCTACCCGTGTAAATTGCAATTCAATCGTAAAATGTTAGCGTTTTGGCTAGTCGATATCTTAGTCAATTTTTCAATCGACAGACTTCAGGAATTTTTTAATTTTCTTTTTTTTTGCTTGGGCGTCTTTTGAAGATGTGCCAAATTATATTGTCGCCTTAAATACAAAACAACAATTTCTTTAAGCCATCTTGCGCAGCAATTTTTTGATCTTATCCTCACGGCTACCGAAATCACCAACCTCAACGTAGTGATTAGCCTTCTTGTGCCAGCCTCGGGTTGGTGTTGAGCTTAAATAGCAACAGGAAGTTGGAGGATTTCTTGAAGTGGGTTCCAACAGTGAATATTTCGTGCGCCAAATAATCAACGCACTGAAATTCATGCGAAATTTGCGTTCGACCACAAAGTAGAGATTGGGACACGTTGATGGTTGTGCTTGACAATTCAACGTTTGTACATCAATTCACGAACTGATTTACGATTTGGATAACCCCATATAGGGTTCGGCATACGTAGCAATATTAATGGTTGCCTTGTTCAATTTGATGAACACCGATTTAATGTGGCTAAGGGCCGTTTGCACCATGTCTAGTTAACGCTAACTGGAGGTACATCCTTCAGTTAAGCACGTTAACTGCTTTATCGATTATATGTTATATGATGGGTGTCCATAACGTCGATAAAGATGTTTAACTGGGAGTTAAGGCTCCGTTATGCACACTTGGCATTGCTTAAAAGTTGTCACATCAGGAATCTGTTAAATGAACTTCGCGCGTAAGCGGTTAGCCAACACACAGTATTACATACGTAAAAGTCTGTTGGTTTTTGATTTCTACGTAAAAATGGTATAGCAGTGCATGCAATGCCAAGTATGCATAACACAGCCTTTAGAATTAACTAGACATGGTGCAAACGGCCCTAAGACGGAACTGTAAAACTTTACGCACTTTTGGTGCAACTTTGTTCATACCGCGGATACGGATCACAAAAGCCAATTACGATTTTTCAAGCCCGTAGAACTGGCCGCGTTTCTTTGCCACACAGCGCAACTTCATCTCACGGCGTCCATCACCGAGTTTTCTTGTTTAATATTTCTGAGCATGCACCAAGTTTTCACGTTTACGGAGTGCAATCACAGCAGAGCGCTTTAGTTTACGTTTGATCAGGGTAGCAGTTTGCTGACGTGCTTCTTGCTGATCTTCAGCTTCGACTCGGGGACAGGAGGCAGCTTCCTAGAAGGTTGTCTGCCCTTTGCTTGCGGTTTCTTACCGGCCGTGATGGCAGTCATCTTAACTTGTTACTTAGCACGTCAAAAAGGCGAAAAAAAGTTCGTCAAATGTTTGGAGCACATCGTAAATGAGCCACTCGATTTATAACATTTCTATTAAACAATTCAATTACAACAAATTCCATCTTGCTTATCGGCATAATTTTCCAAATATGCCTGCTGCTTCATTACTAATAACTCCATTTTCCAACTGCGCCTTCTTTGTTGGCTCAAAATATCCTAAAAACACATGAAATAAAACATTAAACAATAGAAATCGCAAAAATAAAGCAAATAACATACTCCCTTTGTTTTGTTTTGTTGTGAAATTTCTGAGAAATGTGAATTCACCACGATGCGATACAGAAAGAACAAAGACCAGGGATGTAATTTTAAGTAACCTATTATTCAGAGGCAATTCGCAGAACGTTCGGGGAGCAATATTAATTTGTATCAAATATAACTTTAAAGTTTAAACGGTGGTTCAAATACATTTTTTGATATTATTAACCAGATTACATACATTATAGGGTATTTCTTTCAAAAATTAATGTACTACCCTGCAAAAATCGTTGGACCATGTAGTCAATTTGTGGTAAATTGGAGTACTTACAAAAGTGTTCCTCTGTCTTGCTGTAGCGGACCAACTAGTGTCTCTGCGCCAGCTTATTGTTTGTTGCCCGATAACTGCTCGTGTTTTTACGAAATGTGATTGAAGTTGAGCATTTGAAAGCACATTTGCATGTCTGGCTGTAGCTGAACGTGTAGAGATGCTAGCTGTTAGTTGTGAGCTCACAGCATGTTCGCGTTCGAATGCCGTCAGAGGCAACATGTAATTTTTAATTTTTGTCTTGGTTTTTATTAATTTCGAAAAAGCATCTGAGAAGTGAAGAACGAAAGCGTGTACAAACGAAAAAATATAACAACAATGCCATTCTAAATATGTTGGAGTAGTTTTGTGCTACTCTGATGTAATGCAGGGATGGAGTATATGGTCCTGCCCTAGGACATCGCAATGTTAATTTGACCATATTTTTTATATGAATTGTGGTTAATTTTGGAGTATTCCTTGGTCCTTAGAGAGTACTCTTTACACGCATGCATGGAGTAGTCGCGATTTTTGCAGGGTATATGAACTTTTTTCAAATATTTCTTAAGTTTATTTCATGAGTGCTGAAAAGCAACCACGCGTGTAAGAAATTGTGTGCTACATAAAATTTCACCTCTGGAAACTTTATCCCATTAAAGGACTTCACCACAGTACTGCCTGACGTATCACGTAATTTTGTTTCGTATCGTTTTCGATCCGTGAACGGATGTTAGATTCGAGTCCTGATCAGGGCCTGATCAGGGTAGATAATGAGAAGGAGCATAAATTTTGCTGATTCAGAGTTGCATACAAAATTACTGTGGTATGAAAGTAAGTAACAACCGTACTATGGCAGAGTGTCACAGGTAAATTTGTAAACAAACACTTTTCTTATCAATTTAAAGAGATAATTGCTGTTTATTTTCCAATATTCAGATATCCAGCTTGTAGCCAGAGGCAGTGACATGGGAGGCTCTCTAAAATCTACTTATCATGTTAGAGTGTTCCTTCCTAAATTCACAAAATTCGCGTTTTTTAATAAAAAATACAGTGTGAGTTTCCAGTTTATAGAGTTAATTATGTACCTAACTATTCATATTATTAATTAAGCATGATACTATACCTAACCTACATTTTGTTCATAAATAACACAATTATATATAATTTAATGTAAGTGTTGCTGTGCGCGCAAAACGAAAACGCTACACATAAATCAAAAGTACTAAAAAAAAAAAAAAAAAAATGTTTATTACTGTATATACTGTGGTGGGAATTTATCTTTTGTGGTTTTGAACACAGTATATACAATAATAAACTTTTTCGCAGTTTAAGCGGTGGGTCATAAGTTCAGCCAACATATTCAATGGTCAATTACCAGGAGCTGCTCCAACATGATGAGTAGATCTGACGTTGAGAAGCAGCCGTTTGTAATAGCTATTGAGAAAAAAGTGTGTGACTTTCGTAATTTTGAAGTTTGCTATTTCTGTTTTGCTTCTTTCTTTATGTGGATTTTGTCGGTGGTATATTTCAGTGATTTTTAGGCGATTTTCAATAATTTTTTTGTGCAAATGTAATTAAAATGAAGTGCGCGGTGATTGGTTGCAAAAACACGTACAAAAATAATAAATTGGTTAGCACAAACATCCCTCGCAGGCACCTTGCCGTTGGTGCGGGGGCTTAACTTAATCGCTGACCAGCCCCTTTCTGGTCTGGGGTATCGTTGACGCGCCTTACTGCGACATGGGGCGCTGGCGCGGCGGACCAGATGAGATCTCCTTCAACTAAATTGACTGCTGAGCTCGCCTCGTAGAGCAGGCAGTCGTACGAACAAGATGAATACAACTAAAACTAGCGCAAAAACAGGGACAGCTACAGCTACAACGTCAGCAACAGCCACAACTGCAATTATTGCTGCAACAGCAACAGCAACAACTATAGCAACTGCTGCGGATACAGCAACAACAGCATAAAAAACAGCAACGGCCAGGCATGGCAGTAACATGCTGGGCGTGGGTAAAGGCATCAGGCGCAGGGGTAGCTGTCTTTGAGAGCCTGACCGAAGAAGAGGCTGCCCTCTTCATTGAACACGCCAGAGATGACGAGAAGCTAAGCACCAGCAGGGGCGCCGTGGATCAGGCGCAGCGCCTTTCGGAAGGCCTCAAGGGAGCAGAAGCATCACTCCTGAAGGGCAGGCATCGCATGTACAGTGGCATGTACAGGAGAGCAAGAAGCGTAGTCGCAGGTGCAGACTTCCTTCACTACCCCCCTCCGGTCAACCGGGAGCTGTGAAGAGCGCAAGCGCAGAGGCAGTAGAGATGCTACCGCTGTTAGGCAGCATAGCAGCAACTCAGGAACACTACCCGCACCTGCTGAAAAGCAACAGCAACAGAGGCCCGCGCCCGCCCAATGGCGGAGAGGCGGGGAACCCAAAGGTAACTCAACAGCAACTTCCACAGGTCCAGCAAAGCGAACTGGCTTACAGGTTACACCACCGGAGCCACCGTCACCCAAGCGGCAGCGGGGGTCTACACACCCTCAGACAGAGTCTAGGGGCCTGGATGGAAGGAACCACTCAGCAGCCCAGCTATTCTGATGCTCTTAAAGGCATCCGGTTGGCTGTGCTGCCATGTGATTACCCTGCAGCTGCCCTATGTCCTGGGGACCTAACCAGACTCCAGGATGCGATCATGGACGAGGTCCTAATTGAGGGGTGGAAGGGACCCGGGCTATGCACGAAAAGGGGGGAGCACATCCCGCCGGTGCACACTATCTCGGTGTTCTTCCCCAGATGCGCGAGCAATCGGCTGAGTATGTGCTAGCTCGTTCAGGCCCAGAACGAGGGTGTCCACACGGGAGCATTATGAAGGCCGGATTCCATATAAATTTCCGGGACAGCTACGTCTCGGTGAGGCCGTGGCGCCAAAAGACGACAGGCAGCAAGGAGTCAAAGTCGCAAGACATATGTGTTGACGCGGCAACTGGTTCCACTGCGGCCCCAGCGACAGAGTCGCCCACGGCCCCCCCAGCCAACCCGCTGACAGAACAGGCACAGGTACCAGCCAACCAGTTAACAGAACCGGCACAGGCACCAGCTCCGGTGAGTTCAGGGCCAAAGGCTCTCGACTACGTGCGCACCACACGGGACCTCCTAGCGGACATTGCGCGTAGCTCTCCGATATCGACGACGAGCCCCAGTTATGAAGACACTAGCAGTAGAGGTAGCCCAGGTCAATCTGCATCACGCGGTGGCCGCCTTGGCGGTCATTGCGAGCAGGTTTGCCACGGAAGACCTGGGTATACTGCTAATACAGGAACTGTGGACCTACAGGGGCCAGGTGAGGGGCCTCAACCACAATAACAATAAGGTAATTTGGGACCTCTCCTGCGAGAGGCCCAGAGCGTGTGTAGTGCTGAAAAATAATATTAATTATTTCTGCATTACAGAGTTTCTTACACAGGATCTGGTAGGAGACGGCTTCGTGTCATTCTAGGCTGCGATGCAAACGCCCACAATATGGAGTGGGGCAGATCGGACACTAACCGCAGGGCTGAGTGCCTTTTAGAATATATTATAAGTGAAGGTCTGAGCATTCACAATGTCGGTAATGAACGTTCATTACTAGGGTCAGAGAGTAAGTTCTTGACATCACTATCAGCAACAGAATGGCCAGTCCTCTGATCGTCCGTTGGAAAGTCTCATCTTAGCCTTCGCTGTCGGATCACAGGATTGTCCGGTTTGCACTGAGAGCTGCTTGTCAGACAGGTTACCCTAAGAGAAACCCCAGGAAAACAAACTGGGCCAAATATGAAGAGGTACTTTGACTGAACCTACCAAGAATAGAGTTACAGGATAGAAAGGTAGATTGTATGGCGTTAGAGGACAGGGTTAATAGGCTGAACGGCACAATCTTAGATGCCTTTACGTCCAGCTGTCCCGTGTCAAAGCCTAAGGGGAAGGCTCAGCCTCCCTGGTGGTCACGAGAACTCTCGGTTCTTAGGAAAGAGGTGCGCAGACTGTTCAACAGGGCAAAGCGCACCGGGAACTGGGATCAATACTCAGTCAGTCTGACAAAGTACAATAAGGAGATTAGATAGGCCAAGCGTACCTCCGATAGGGCAGGCACCTTGTCGTTGGTGCGGGGGCTTAGCCGAATCGTCAGCCGGTCCTCCCCTGGATTAGGGTAACGCGAATGCTCTCGTAGCATCCGCGCTACCCTGACTCAGCTTAGGGCCGCTGGCGGACGGTGACCAAGAACGGCCACCTCCTAATCCAGGGTGTGAAGCGACACCGTGCCCATTGGACGGTTTGCAGCCAGGAGGAAAACCGGCTGTATTAGAACGGCGCCTTCTCGACCCCGGGCCGCCTCGAGGAGTAACGGTGGCCTTACCGCGACAAGGGGCGCTCGCGCGGCGGACGACGAGAACCCCCTACTATTAATAGACTGCTACGTCTGGCGAGTCAGACACGCGGTCGTATGAACAAGATGAATACAACTAAAGAAACTAAAACCAAAACAACAACAACAAAAAGACAAGAAGACAAAGACAAAAAAGCAACCAAAGAGGTTCGGTGGAAGAACTTTTTAAATAGTTTCTCCGATGCTGAGGCAGCTCTATTTATAGAGCATGCGAAGGACGATGAGGAGCCCTGCACTAGTTCGGGCATCTATCACGAGAGGGCATTAAGGCCGACAGGTGGGCATGAGACCACCGAGCAGCAGAGAAGGCACCGCAGAAGTTACGACAGCGAACCA